TCTAGTGAAAGATCTCCAGATGTAAGCCTAGTTAATGGGGAGACCCTAAACCCAATGGTAAGAATTTCCATAAGAGAAGGCACAAGTTTTGTGAGAATGGAGGCAGAGACTTAGAGGATAGTCTCTAAGCCAAGGGATGCCAAGGATTGCCAGCATCCATCAGAAGGGAGAACACAGACGGCCTCAAACCCTACAGAAGTAACCAGTCCTGCCAACCACTTGATTGTGAACTTCTGACCTCTAGAACTGTGGAAGAATAAATTGCTGTTCTGTTAAGCCACCAAGTTTGTGGTAGTTTGTCATGGCAGCCACAGGAAACCAATACAGTAGTCCTGAGAGCCTGAGAATTCTGATTCATCGTTTAGTGATGAGTCACAGTGTGGAGCCCTGTGAATTGATACCTCCGGGTAGCATCCTCCCTGTCACCCTCAGACACATTCCAGCCAACGCTAAGTGGTGAGTAGGGAAGAGAAAGCCAATGTCAACTAAGCACCTGTGGTGCTCCTAGGGCTACACAGAGTCACCTTATTTAATGTGAACGTTGCGATGCCCTCTGGGTTGTAACATGTTGGCCTTGTTCTCTACTAGTGACAGCTGAAGCTTTTGAGAAGTCAGGTGACTTGAGCATGCCACATGTTAGTGGCAGTGTCAAGTCTGCTGATTCTAGTCTAACCTTTGTTCCTCTCTGGAATGCCCCAAGCCCTGGAAGTCTTGTGGCAATTGCCTGATGTTCTGTTCCAGATGAAAGGCTGATGGTCAGCCCAATGCTGATGAGGGGCCAGACATTTCCAGGGCCAATACTGAGTGAGTTGAGAGTGAAACCTGTTGATATTTGTGGTTTCAATGACAAAGAGACAGGAGTGCATTTTGTAGCCACAGCTACTGTTGAAATAAGAATGTCCTTTGAAAACATCAGTGAGATGTCAGTAGAGGAGGCTCGATGGGGAAGGCACAGTTTTGTACTTCAGGGTGGGATTCTATAAAGTCCTGCCCTATCTGCCGCTCTTCCCAGCCCTGTGCTGAATGCTGCTCCTGATTAGAGAAGGAGCCAAGCCAGGAGGCTTCTGCTCTCACTCAGGCTCAGGCTCTCTTCCAGAGGGAAATGTCTGGCCAGCCTGGACTCCACTTGGACCAGATTTGTTTAACAAGGTCATAACAAGACCCAAAGATCATTGCCTGGGCTTGAGGAATGGGGGTGCAATAGTTTACAGGATCCTGCACCTACCCTCACCCTAGGTTCCTCTAAGATACAGGCATCAAGTACCCAGACATGGTGAGTAAAGGTGGGCCCTTTGGGATGGAATTGGGGTTCCAGTTTTGTCCCCATTTATATATAGATATAGATATATAGATATAGATATAGATATATAGTCAGGACTTTGAATACTATGGTTGTCAGACTAACATAGTTGTCTGTATTCCCCAAACTTGAAATCCCAATGATTGACCAAGATGCCTTGGCACCTGTTTCATGGAGAATTTTCCTGAAAGTTTTTTTCATCTAGATGTCTTTTATATCTCAACCTACATACCTAGGGAGTACTGGAACTGATGCCCTTGAGGGTACTAGTACTTTTAATGGTCTAGTGTGGAGAGAGGACATGTTACTTTAGAGATGGAGGGTTAGACCATCCATCTCTGCTTTGGAGTTTCCCCCAAAGTGGTCATCACCCTCACCATGGGAGATCCGAGGCCTGTGGATACAGGACAGAGCAAGCCTGGTCTGGCTGTGGCTGAGGCTTCTTGGCAAGGTTTGGAATAGTGATGACCACACTGAGAGAAGCGTTCCTTCTGGCAATGCCAGGATCCTCAAAGAGCAGCAAGGTTTGTTGTTAACAGCCTCGTGACTCTGCCCAGGAGCAGAGGGCATAACAGAGTCCCACCTGAGACTCCACCCAAAGCTTCTTTAGAATAAAGAGTGTGTGGTGCATGACTTGCTTGCCTTTTTTTCTGTTTGGTTTTGTTTGAGACAGAGTCTCATGTAGCACAGTCTAGCCTTGAACTCCTGAGCTTCCAGGCTCTACCTTCTGAGTTCTGGGATTACAAGCACATACCACCACATCCAGCTGCAGTAGCCTCTTGTACAGGTGAAAACAGCGGGGCTCCCTGAGGTGAGAGCATGAGCTTTTGCTGGTCCAGCCTACAGATGCAGAACCGGCAGACTGGCCTTCATTGCTGAGAGCCTGAGAGAGGCGGGGTTTACACAGGTGCGCTCTGTGGAGCACATCTCTGTTGTGTCGATATGAGGGGAGCGGTCTATGTGGGGAGAGGATGGCAGAGGACATGTGCTGTGTTGTGTGTGCTGCATATGCCTAGTTAGGGAGCCTGTGTGGTCACGCATGTACGTGCCCGCACCTGGCCCCTCCTCCCAGGTGGTAAAGCTGGGGGCTGCTCTCTCCCTCTGAAGAGAAAGCTGCAGAGCAGCCAAACCACAGCTTGAGCCAAACCACAGCCTGGGCTGTGGGGGTTTGATCTTCCCTCTGCTGCCAGAGATGAGAGAGGTCTAAGTGGCAGAGATTTACAGGGCCCGAGGGAGAAGTACCCTTCCAGCAAAAAGTACACATGAAAGCTCCCGAGTAATAGCCAAGGCTGCTGAGTGCGCCAATTATGCAACAATTAAAAGACTTGACTATCATTTCTTTCCCCTTTCATTCTCCCAGCCGCTCCTCCTCCTCCACATCTGCCTTCCCCTGCAGGCTCCCCGAAAAAATGCTCTGGGGAACAGAAGAGAAAGAACACCCCCCTTTTTTTAAATTGAAGATCAAAAGTTGGAAGAAGGGCTTGCTCTTCGAGGGTGGGGAGGAAACGGGGTATTGTAGACACAAAGCCTCAGACGAAGGGCTGGGGAAGGAAATGGGGGAGGAGGACATGGTTCTGTGTGTCTGACAGTCTCTGCAACAACTTTATATAACCCAGTGACATTATGTGATAGTCTAGTAGGCAAATGGCTGAGCTCAACCCAGCTGGTTGCTTGCTGCCAAGGGATTAACCACCGGGCTTTTTTTGTCTCCACATTGTAAAGATTGGAGGACTTTTCCTCATCTCTTGGTCTTGGCTTTCCCATCTGCAAGGTGGGCATAGCCTGGGGGCCTTGTGCGTTGAGGCCAAGACAGATGAAAGAGCCAGCGGGTGCTTAGCGGCAGGCCTGCTCTATAATTCAGCCAGCAGCAGCAGAGCCAAATGCCCCGCACGGCAACACAGTGGCTAATTGAGAAAGAGTTCGGCAGTGTGCCCCGAAAGTGAAGAAACAGCTGCTTGCTGGCTTTTTTGAGGTGCCAACCCACACCCAGTATCTGTGCCCCCATCCTCACCTGATTTCCCAGCAGAGCTAAACAGCCCCCACATTCCAGGATGGGGGGTGCACTCCCTCCTGCCCTGCAGCTCCCAGCACCACCCTGGAGCCGGGCTTCTCTAAGGACTCTCCGGAAACCTAGCACAGAGTAGGTTCACCCAATTCCCATCTGACCAGATGATAGGATAACAAGGCACCCTCCTAAGGACTTCTGTTTGCTCATTGACACCCTGGTCTGCTCTGTGTACAGTTGGGAAGGTGACCCTGGGAGGAACCATCATCCAGGAGGAAGGATGCAGCCTTCCTGGAAATGAACTTTCTCTAATGAAGATTTAGAGGAGTAGACTGGCCTGTTCTCACTGTCCGGCCATCAGTGGCAGCTATGGAGGAGGAGCACACAGTCTAAGCTTACATAGTAGTAAGAACAGAGTGCATGTTCTGAGTCCATGCTGGAACATGCTGCCCTGCACTACACTCCTTGGTATACAGCTGGCAAAACGGTCTGAATGCCAGGAGAGCTGAGCCCAGCTCTACCATTTCTCCCGCTGCACACCGAGCACAAGAAAGCAGCAGCCATGTTCCTAGGAACCATCCCCACAGGAAATAAGATGCGATTAGGGATGAGCCTCTCATCTGTTTCCCCACACAACCGCAGAGTCTGTGGCCAAGGTCTCTGGGGGTAGACTGTACACAGTGGTTTTTCCCAGCATGTTGCTTCCCAGTCACAGCACATCTTCCAGAATTGTGTCCTCTGCTGCTTTGGATTCCTAAGACCTCCTCACCTCAGGAGCAATGTGGAGGAAGAGTGCTGAAAACGGGTTTGCTTATAACCAGAGAAGGTGCCTGAAGGGGAACTGTGACCAACTCCTGATGTCATAAGCCTTTCCCCACCCTCAGGGGCTCACACTCGTGGTGACCTGGGGCTCTCCTCCCCCAGAGCCCCCAACCCCATGTCCTGCACCAGGTGGCTGTGGCGGCCAGTTCCCTCAGGGGAGCCGAAGACCCCAGCTGGCATGACCAGTCACTCTTGCAAAGTCTAGATGATTGTTTGCACAATGGGGCCCACTCAGCCCACACTGCAGGGGCTGGCAGGCCTCCAGAGGAAGTGATGGGAGGGCTTGGGTGCATTCTGACCTTAACTGAATTCCTGGAGGATGATGTGTGAATAAAATGGCTTTTTAAGAGTCAACAGCTTGGGTGCTTTTTATCGGTGGGCTGAGGTGCTGAATGGGCCATCTCCCCATTAATCACTTCGCTAGTTAGGTCAGCTGGCAAACAGTCCTGACATTATTCTGTGGTATTCCTCTCCCTTCTGTCAGCAGCCACCCTGAAGCAGACATCAAAACTGCCATCAAGTCAATCCTAGCCCTACCCCCGAGCCTTCCAGTCTCCAATATTCATGTCCTAGTTCCTCTGACTTCTGCTAGCTCTTTCATTTCTGTTCATTATGGGACATCTCTGCTGACAGGGGCCCTGCGTTCCCATTTCCCGGGCCACTTGGAACCACCGCAGAGCATCCTGTACCCACCTGAAGGGAGAAGGGATTTATACTGAGTGACATCTCAGAGAAAAGTCCCAGGAGGGACACATGGGTGACAAGCCTGGGGCCAGATCATACCCTGCTGGCCTTTCCTAAGCCCATGCCCCAACTCTAGTCACAGGTGTCATCACCCAGAGGGCTAGGACTTCAGCGGGATCTCCCACTCACAGTGTCTCCAGGTTATGCAGCCCCTCGAAGCTGTGGGTCCCCACATGCTGGATGCGGTTGTTATGCAGGTGCCTGTGTGAGAAGAAGAGACACGTCAGAAGTCGCAGCAGAGCCTCAGGGCCATTCGGGGCAGATGGGTGAACCCAGCTGAAGGAGAAGCGCAAACAGAATGACCTCAGTGGTCTAACCTCTTTCCTCCAGGGACGGGCAAATCAGCCAAGACCCACTCCTGAAGCCACAATTGCCAAGGCAGCCTTGACCATGGGCTGGATACCCTTTTGCCTCCCTAGTGAAGGAACTGGGAAGAGGAAAGCCCAGACCAAGGCTGCAGCAAGCTCTGACTAAGCACTGGGAGAGAGGCCTGATGTCATAGGGGCTCCCATCTGAGGCTTCTTCTCTGGCCCTGCACCATAGGACCCAGCCAGCCTGACTCAGTGGCCAGACTTCATAGAGGAGCCAGCAGCAAACCGCTGCAGACAACATATAATTAAAGGCTAAGCTTTGTTACAACTGGAGAGAGCTGTGGTCATGCTGAGTGAACTGGGAGGTTGGTGAGGCTGAGGCAGCCCAGGGAAGGCCTGGCAGAGGCAGCGATCCTCAGCCGGGCCTTCACAGGCCATCTGCATGAGCAGAGGGAAGGGGTTCCAGGCAGAGATGGGAGGCGGGAAGTTGCATGGGCTGTCTGTCTGTGCAGGCCTTGGCAAGAACTGTTTTGAGTAGTAAAGGGGGGAGTTTGGGAGAGAGTCCCAAGGTAAATAGCTCAGCGAAAGTAAGATGGAATTGAACAGAAATTATCAAACCAAACTCCACAACACCTGAACCCTCACAAGGAGTAAAAAGTGGAAAAAGGCACACAGCCTTGTGTAGACAGTTACACTGAAGACCTGTGGCCAGACAGACAGTTGGAAGTCTGTGCCAGTGCCTTCTCCAGAGAATAAGCAGGTGAGAAAACAAAATCTGAGTTTGCTCCCTAAAAAATAAACACTAGCTTGTGAGAACTAACCACGCAAACATTCTTGTTTTTCTTCCCTACTCTGTCTTCCAAAGGGAACAGGTGAAAGAGAAAGAAAATCCAAAGCTTGAGGCTGCTCATTAGGTAGGGAGCCGGAGGTGCTAGCCTGTAGCACTGGGTGGAGGGAGTGAACGCCACACTTAATACACAAGGGAAGAGGAAGCAGCCCCAGGTGGTCGACCCAAGACTGGCCACCACCACCTCAGAGCATGGTGCCTCTCTCTCCCACCCCACCAGGGTACTGAAAATGGGACAAAGCCTACCTCTTTGGACTTGACCCACGTACGGCAGGTTTGAGGGGGCAACCAAGAGGCCTAGAGACGATGTGTTGGAGCAGAGTTTTGTGAGAGTTCCAGAGGAAAGAAATCACAGGGTGACAAAGGGAGGAGGGGATTGTAAGGGACAGTGAAGTTCCAAGCCCTAAAGAAAATGCAATTAATGCTGAGTGTGGTGGTGAAATCCTGGAATCCCAGAACTTTGGAAGTAAAGGCAGGAGGATCAGGAACACAAAGTTATTCTTGGCTACACAGTGAGTTGGCGACTGGCCTGGACTACTTGGTTCCCTGTCTCAAACAAAAAAATTTACACTCAATGAATGAGGAATAGTAGGAAACTGATCACAGTTGCCTTCTGCTACAAAACATCCTAAATGATGTATCAAAGACAAAAAATAAATAAATAAATGAAAGGAAAAATGACATTGTAGGTTAAGGCAGTAAAGCTAAGGCCCCAAACTGCATTATTAATATATATGATATGTAATCTATGTCATATACACTATATAATATATATGAGCTAATCAGTTTGAAACAAGGAACAGAGTGTGCAGTGGTGAAAGTTGGCTTGTATCAGTAAGAAAACTAGGTGCAAGGCTGGAGAGATGACTCAATAATGAAGAGAATTTGCTGTCCTTACAGAGGACTGGGATTCACTTCCCATCATCCATACTGGATCGTTCAAAACCACGTGCGACTCCGGCCTCAGGGGATCTGACACCCTCTTCTGGCTTCTGTGAGCACTGCATGCACACGGGGCACAAACATACATCTGGGCACACACACACATAAAAATAAGATAAAGGAAAAGAAAGCTGGACACACTCAGGGTGAGCATGGCAGAGTGAAGCAACGGTTAAAATAGTTAAAACCCGAGCGATGTGGGGGTACATCAGTAACCGAGGTCTCTCAAAGAAAGGATTCCCAACAGGAGGCTGAAGATACAATAATACAAAAATTCTCCAGAAGAAAGAACAGAATTCGCCCCTCAAAGGCATCCATTGTTCCTGGAAAATTAGATGCAGAACTTTCTACACTGTGGCATATTTGAGTTACGCTGTTAAAGTTCAAGAATTTACAAACATCTTTAGGCAGAAAAGGGAAATCACTTATGAGGGGTAAAAAAGCAGGCTGGCTGGCAAAGATGTTGCTGAGTTGTGAGGGCGCTCAACCAGAGCCATCCAGCTAGGTGGGGAGGGCCAAGAGTCTTGTGAGGCCCTGTTCTCCCATCCCCCACCTGCTCTACCAGGTCCCAGGAAGGAAGACAGACCCTCCCCCCAATTCAGGAATCTTCTGGTCTTATAGGAAAACAACCATTGCCTTCTGAAAATAAGCTCTCTTCTCTTACCAAGGCTAGGTAATTTTTCCTATCTCCTCCATCCCTCTATCCCAACTGTCACCAAACGCCTTTTGATCGGCCTCCCAGACCCTCTCCTCCTCCCCGTTCAGCTCTGGTCTAGACCACCTCAGCTTTCTAGACCTCTAGCTCCAGCCTCTCCCTCTCTCCTTTGAACCCATTCAGTTCTAGAGTTCTGGCACCTCTTTACAAGATTATATACGGGACGTTACTAGACTTTCTACTTAGTGTTGTTTCTGGTGCCACCAGTGTGGAAAGGGTTCGTACATGTCAGAGCAGCGCCAGAGTGCAGGCTTTGATGGAGGGCACCTTGTCTCTCCCATCACTCCTGCCTGCCTGTGTCGCCTGACAGGTTTCCATCTACCCCTCGAGCTTTTCTGTTTTGTTGTTTGGAGATATGGTCTCATATAACCCTGCGGCAGGAGGATGGCTGGTCTCTAACTTGCCATCCTCCTGCCGCAGGCTTCCAGGTTGTGGAATTGCAGGCACAAGCACATACCACCCAGCCTACCTCTTGGTTTTAACTACCGTTTTCTTGCTTCCTCTTGGGCTTATTCTTCCTCCTCTGCCTCCTGGGCTTCCCCATAGCTCATCTCAAAGTCCCAGGACAGCATCCTCCAGCCTTCTTTACCTTCAACATGGCTCCCTGCTCAAAACACTTTCCTTCACACACTAATAAAACACAGAGAAGTGATGCTTCTAGTCTCACTCTGTGCCAAGGGACCCGGGCTGTTCCAGCTTTGGTCCCCTGTACAAGTTTTTCTCCTTTAATCCCTTGTTCTTTCAGTGGAATCCCCACACCTTGTAGACTTATATTGGGCTTGAATTTCATACCAGCTTCCTAACTCACAACCAGGCCTTGAAGTAATCTATGACTCCTTTTCAACGTGGTCTCCTACCCCGTGAAAACCTGTGGCATAGGTCAATTCTTCCTCTCACATGCCTCTTACAGTAGCATCCTCCCTCTCATCCTTTCTGCTGTCTCCCCAAACTGAACTTCGATACATGAGAACCTCAGAACTCATTTTTCTGTCTCTGGTCTCCATGTGTTCCCATCTGTCCTTTACTTTAACCATCCGAAAATATCCCTTAATGTCTGCTTGAAAACCTGCAAGCTTCCCTCCCCAACTGGGAAATAAAAGCCAGAGTCTTCACTCTGCCATTGTCTGTCCCCAGAGTTACCTCCTCAGCCTCCCCTCACCCCACCCCCCAAACACACAGACTCTGCTACAAGGACTCTCTGCTACAGCTGGATGGCCCGATTCACCAACAGCTGACAGTGTCTGACTCTTCCTCCGTGTCTTAATGTTCTAATTCTCCTTGCTTGTCCAATGCCATTATGTCTCCACGTCCAGCCCCAGTCCTGCTTCTCCCGTGAAGCTTTCTTCTTATCCACCCTGTGCTATGCGTCTGTCTCTAACGCCTAAGCTATAGCAGCAAAAATCATACAGCTGCCTTGATTGTCTTTCCTCACAGAGGGAACTGACTAGCCTGTAAGTCCTTTCAGGCCAGCAAGTCTGTCTCATCCTTCTGTGACCTTCAGCACTTGCACACGCATGCACTCGCACACACACACACAGACACACACATACACACACTCTGTAAATGCATATTGTTGCCCATGTAGCAGGGACCCATCATAAAGTTCTCATTTTTCCAGTTATCTTGTCTGTCACAGAGACTTGACCCCATTCCTATACAAGGTCACAGGGACATTACCAAAGCTAAAACCAACCACACTGACTCCCAGAAGGATAGAGGGTATGGCCATTCTAATAGAAGGAAATACTCCATTGGGGACATTCATATTCACTTTCTAAGTTCCTGAGACAGAACAATAGACAAACAAATCACTACCTATATCTTCATCTCTCACGGAACTAAGCATCATCCGTTCATGCTGACCTAGAAAACCACAGCAGATATCCAAAAACAAAGGAGGCAATGCTGCCATTCAGCAGAGTCACTAACATACATGTTCCTGCAGCAATTAGTATGTAACCCAGAGCAATTACACGTGACCTCCAAGCCCTTAGTAATTAGACTATGAACTTACCAATCATTCATAGCAATTAGTTAGAAGCTAATTTGCACTGTAAAGTTCCCACTAGGAAAGTAGAGTTAACCCCAGCCCCTATCCCTGCCAGGGATGCTATCTCCCAGGTAATTACCCCGCTGAGGCTTTGACATCTAATTACATGTGATGGCCTTTCCTGCTTATTTAGGCATGCAAAATCAGATGGATTTATTCTATCCCTATGCCAAAGCATATGATTGCATCTTTTGGTTCTCAAAGGTGGTGAGAATTACTTAAAAAAACTCTTGATTTATATTACAATTAACATGGAATGCTATTCTGTTTGCTGACTATAATAGTATTTCTGATTATAATAATGCTTAGTCCCTTTAGTGACCCTCAGAGCACTTCTATGGGCTTACTGTCACCTGGCTTTGAGAGCGTCCTATGGATGACTCCATCAGATGACACAAGTGATGGTCATATTCATAATCTACAGAGAAGGAACTGAAAATGAGAAGGTTCGACAACATGCAAAGAAGAGCAAAGCTCCTGGCCCAAGTGGAGGAAGCATGCAGCTTCCCAGGCCCGCGGGTGGTGGGGACTGAAACAGCACTCACAGCACCACAAGACTGGTGAGGTTCTGGAAGGCATAGTCGGGGATGCGGCGGATGTGGTTGAGAGCCAGGGTCATGGCCTGTAGTGCAGGAAGGTTGTTGAGAGCTCTGACAGGAATCTCGGTGAGTGCGTTGTCATCCAACCAGAGGTGCCGGAGAGAGGACAGCCCCTCAAAGCTCCTCTCGGGAACCAGGGAGATGAGGTTCGCATCTAGGCGCCTGGTGGAAGGAGAAGAGGATGGAGAAGGACCAGTTCAATGCAGGTCGCAGATCAAGCTTTTGAATGCACCAGGCTTGGAAAGCCAGGCCCCCAACAGCACTCTGCACTCTCAAGTATCACTTATCATGTACCCCACATTTTCAAGTTTCCGTATACCACCCACATTCCTGATCCTTTATGGCACTTCTATTTATGACTCCAACAGCTCCTCTCAGATCCAACATAGAAGCCATCGCCCATCTGTGATAGCCGATATTTCCCCGGCATCCTTAGCTCCCCTGACTTGACTATGACATTTTCCCCAACCCTGTCCACGCCAAGGATATATAATGGACTTGTCCCCTGCACTGGCAGAAGGGAAAATTTCCAACTTCTAGACATAACCAAAGAAAAATGCCTCTCTGATGTAAGCCATTTTCTCTGAGCCATCCCTAGCACCACCTGCTCCTTAACCCCTCTGCCAAAGCCCTGGGACTCCCTGATAAGTTACTGACCTATAGTAGGTCCAAGCATGCCACAGGCAAAACCCTTTCTGGTGGGAATAAGAATGACGCCCCCCCCCATAGGATCATATATTTGGATGTTTAGTCATCAGGAGTGGCACTATTTGAAAGGATTAGAAAGATTAAGCGGTCTGACCTTGTTTGAGGAAATGTGTCAGTGGGGTGGGCTTTGAGATTTCAAAAGCCCATGCCAAGCCCAAGCGCTTTCTCTCTCTCTCTCTCTCTCTCTCTCTCTCTCTCTCTCTCTCTCTCTCTCTCTCTCTCTGTCTCTGTCTCTCTCTGTCTCTGTCTCTGTCTCTCTCTGTCTCTGTCTCTCTGTCTCTCTCTGTCTCTGTCTGTCTGTCTGTCTGTCTGTCTGTCTGTCTCTCTCTCTCTCTCTCTCTCTCTTCCCACAGACCAGAATGTAGCTCTCAGCTACTGTTCCAGCTGCTACCTAGATGCTGCCATGCTCCCTGCCATGCTGATAATTCACTAAACCTCTGAAACTGTAAGCAAGTTCCCGGTTAAATTCTTACTCCTGTAACAGTTGCATTGGTCATGGAGTTTCTTCACAGCAATAGAACAGTGACTAAGACATCCTTCATTTGCTGCTTCTCAGAACAGGTAAACAAAGGAAGGGTGACTATGTGCACAGAGATTCCAGGGCACAAAACATTTTTTATGATCCCTAGAAATATCAGTAGCTCAGCAAAATAGAATGCCCAGGTGTACCTAAGCCATGAGATGCTACTGTTTCTGCCTCCTAGTTTGTTACCTTGCACAGCTGGTCCCATGGAACAAAGGCAAGCTGATCTGGTGACAAGCTCTTGGATTTATGCCATGGCTCTCCCACACAGACCTCTGGTACCCAAATTATGAAAACCTTAGGTCTTGTTCATAAAGCTTGAAATCCACAGTCCTAAACCCAAAGGAGAATTGTTTGATTGAAAGAGTGGGAAGAAGTGGTTTTCTTTTATGCCGACAGCACACACCTGCTTGAGAAAGGTCAGCGGTGCGTCTGTCGCTTGCCCAAGTTACTTTAGCAGTACTGTCCCTGATAGTCTAATGCACCCCTGGGAGAAAGTCCCCAGCTTGGCATCCAGGGGGCTATGATGGACAGGCTGACATACAGTCTTTGGTTATGAGGACAAAATGACTAGGACACACTCTGAAGGCTGCATTTAGGAAAGACCTCTCACCACATCAAGCATAGACTGGTGGGAGGTACTTGAACATCTGTGTTTCTTGCTGCACTATTTGCAATAGCCAAGATAAGGAACTAGAGGCCCATCAACAGGTGAACTGAGAAAGAAAACATGGTAAATACAGACAATGAAGATTTATTTACCAATAAATAAAAATAAAGTTATGCTGTGGCAGCGAGATAAATATAAGGATTATGTCATGTGACTCAGAAAGACAAAAACCATATTAAAGTTTTCTATTGTATATGGAATCTTGATTAAATATATAACATGTATAGATTGAGTTGGAGACCATCCTGGGCTACATGATATCTTACCTCCAAAACACCTTTCCCTCCAAAAGCCCAAATAACAAAACAAAGTGGGGAAGGAGGGAAGGTATTATGGAGTGAAGGTCACTTAGGTATTGGGGAAGGGTAATATTAGAAGCAGGGCACTAGCTAAGAGACAGAGGGCTGGGGCCTGCCTAGTCTGACAGGTCTGAACTTTGTCCTCCACTACTGCCTGCCTACTGGGTAAATTCACAGTGCCATGAACTGATTTCCATGTGCAGGTGGTGCCACCTTCCCTGAAGTGAAAGCAACTCTGTGGATGATCATGACACAAGCACTAGTCACTGTTTTGCTTTATGAGCACTTGTCTTATGCCAGATACAGAGCCAGGTGCAAGTAGGTGATCTGTGTCCTCCCAACACTACCACAGGATGACTCTGACTAGTCCCACTCTACAGGGGTTGGCCTGCTAAATCACTCAGCTAGTGAGCCAAAGACATGCGATTTGAACCCGAGTTTGTAGACACTTAAGTCCATGTGCCTCCCATTATGTGATGCTGGCACTCCAGGCATATCAAGGGAGATGAGAACCTGTTCACCTACTTAAGGAGACAGGAAGTGGGACAGGACTGGGGTGGGGGGGCTTTTAATCCTGTAAGCCTAGAATGGATGGAAGTCACTTACGAAACAAAAATCTTGTTTTGTATTTATTATTTATTTCGTATGTTTGTGGACACACATGTGAAGGTCAGAGGACAACTTCCAGGGGTCAGTTCACCCCTCCCACCTCAGGAGACTGAACTCAGCTCATCAGGCTTGGCAGCAAGTGTCCTTATGTCAACCCCAGGAAGTCGCGTCTTTGAGAATGAGCACCCTAGTATGCCTACACACACGCATTGCATGCTTCCATGTGTACAGCACAGTCCTGTTCAGTTCATCTCCTGCATTTTGTGCAATCCACAGGCAGGAGAGCTTGGGTAGGGCCACTGCGTCCAGGCTAGTCATTTAGCGTCCGAAGACTTCCTGGGTCTAGTATGTTTCAACCTCCTTTGGACAGGGATCCTTCTCAAAACTCTCAAGGAAGGGCAGATTTCAGGAGCCTTCCAGCCTCCTTCTCAGGCAGAAAGCCAGGATGCCTCCACAGCTCATGCATCTCCTAGAATGCTATGGTAGAGCTGTTGTAGGCCTTGGAAGCACAGGTGTTTGTAGCCCTGTCCCTGATACTTGGGGACAGGAAAATGCCAAAGTGGAAAATCAAGCAAATTGGCAAGCAGAGCAAAATAGGACAAGAACATGGAAATAATCACGCTAGCCTGTATTCCTGTCTGGGTGCTCAGGGAAACCACACATTCTACCCATGCTAGCTTGGCTCTCTGATGGAGCAGACCCAGGGCAGTACTGTTGGGTACAGCGAATTCAAACACACACTGTCAGCTGAAATACAAACACCTAGAGATGAGTCAGGAGGATCAAGAATGCAAGACCAGCCTGGACTACATAATGAGTTCAAGGCAAGCTTGAGCTTCAAAGTGAGACCCTGTCTCACAAGCAACAATAACAGCATACGTGCTATCGAATTAAACTTGAATTTCACATAAAGGAAAATTTTTAGCAAAAAAAAATAATGTCCCATGAAATATTTAAAACCATGCCCAGTAAAATTTAAATATCAGATAAAGGAAGAATAACTTTTCAGTATAAGTGTGTTCTTGGCAAGATTTTTATTTTAGGGGGTGAAGAGATGGTATGGTGGTTAAAAGTACATCCTGCTCTTTGCAGTGGGCCTGAGTTTGGTTACCAACACCCATGTTGGCAGCTCACAACTGTCTGTAAGCCCAGCTTTAAGGGGACCTGATGACTCTGTCCTCTGTGGGCACCTACACTCACATGCACACATCCACACAAGTCACATACACGTGCATGTCATTTAAAAATAAAATAAATCTTTTTAAATTTCGGATTTATTTATGTGTATGAGTGTTTTGCCTGCACGTATATATGCGCATCACATGCATGCCTGGTGCCCATGGAGGTCAAAAGAGGGCATCAGGTCCCCTGGATTTGGAGTTCGGAATGGTTGTGAACTATGTGGATTCTGGGAACTAAACCTGGGTCCTCTTCCAAAGTAATATATGCTTTTAACCACTGAGATGAGCCCCCAATAAGATAAATCTGGAAAAATATTTGAGTTTTGTCTGGCAACTCTGATCCTGCATGGAGAATGGGGGGTTAGCTGTTAGATGCAGCCACACATCCCTTCCTTTTGGCCTGTGTGTGACACTGCTGTCCTTGGCTGTTCCCCTCCCCCTTTCTTCTATCCTTATAACAGCCTATCTAGGGGCGCCCTGGGGGCCCTAGGGAGGAACAGGGCACCTGGCACCAGTAGGTATGGAGGCTTTGTCTGTGTGTTGTGTTCAAGTGACTCAAGGGCGTCTGTCCGGAGGTTTGGGGGAGATCGCCCCAGCAAAGAGCAGTAAACTTGCCTTAATCTCTCCCCTCGCCAGGATCACCCCACTCTTAGAGAATATCAAGGGTCAGCACCGTGATGCAGAGAAATCTCTCCCACTCTTTCTCCACCTGGTTCCATCATAGGATGAGGCACTTTCTGAAGAAACCCTTCCAGCCACTTTGAAGCAGGGTTCAGGCTCCCCCGGGGTGCCTAGTCCTCTGGGGTAAGTGGGCTTCCCTGCCATTTGGTAGTGAAAGGGCCTAATGGGGGCTTCTGTACAGTCAGGAGAACCTGCCTCAGGAGACTACGAATTTTCAGAGCTGCTCCCACCCACAGGTGGGAGAGCCAACCCTGACTCTGGTTTGGCAGGCGGAAGAGAGCAATTATACCAATTAAGCGCTGGAATAAAATCAACAGTGTGCCTCTCCCCCACGTGGGCCCGGCCCCTCCAGTGCTTTCCGATTAGAATTCTTCCCTGCGGTGATAGGGCAGATTAGCAGGGCCCTGGCAGGCCAGTTGGGGCTTGCCTGGGCTTTGGGGATACAGTTTAACATCTCCAGGGCCCAGCTGCTTTTTCTACTTCTCAGCCTC